CCCCCCCCCCCCCCCCCCCCTCCTCCTCCCAAAATCTACGCCACATTCCTTGATTAGTTCTCAGATTTTGAGGTCAATCCTTATGTAGTTATGGACAGAACAATAACAGTCTGCAAAAAAACACAGGAAAGACTGTATCGTTCCCCAACACAGGCTCCACGTTGTTCCTCTACATAAAAGGTTTGCTGCATTTGGACTCACCTTCATTGCTACCGCCAACATCCATAGATTGAACTTATAGAAACCACATGAGTAGTTCGAGAAGTCTAACGTGTAGGATGGCGTTGAAGACGCTTGTTCTGCAAGTCAGGCAATAAGGTTGTTATGCAGTAATAGAAGATGATAAAAAAGAGTCATTCATCTGAAGCCTATGAAGCAGGACCTTCCATAGCTTCACAACTTTCAAAAAAATGCAGAAAAGCTGTCTACATTGAGATGATAGAATGTTTAGGGAAGCGCAGCATTCTCAAATGGGCCGAGTACAGTGAGGAGGTCTTTGAAGAAAATGCAGTCTTCGAAATTTTTTTTCACAACGGGTGAATTCCACGACCGAAGATTCAATTTATCCCATATTTTTTCAACCATGTCTATGTGCTATATTTTCCGTCGCTTGGAAAGAAAAGTTTCTTTCCCAGTCTCATAAGATTTCACAAAGTCCTTGATGATCCACCGAATCATGATAGCTTCCTCGTTTGTAATAATTTCTCTTTCTAATTTTCAACCATTATAGTACAAGCATCCTGTGAGTGTCGGTCCTGGGCTGTTCTTCCAACTATTCTGTTATTAATGGTTGTTTTTATAGGTAGGCAACAACATTTCATAATCGTATCACTTGAGATACTATTTACATGTGGTAAACAATGATAACGTTTGATTTAGCACACGTTCCAACGGGAGGTTCATTCATACGATTTCCAGAAATTTCTCAGGAACAAATCATTGAGAGTACTATTTGAAGAGAACATCCAGACTTTTTGTTATGCTCTCACAGAACATTCACGTAACTAAGTAAACTATCGTACCATTTGTAATCTCATAGATCTCATGCAGCATCACAGTCGGTACGCACATCATCGAGATCGAAGCCGTCACAATTCCGAAGAGTTTCCTAAAATGAGTGTTCCTTTTGAAGTGGAAGAAGATTCCAGTGAAAAAAAAAAGATTTTTGTCTTCAAAAACGTCCTCATGCTTTTTGAAAATACTTTCTCTAAGGGATTCCTTTGGGAATAAGCCTGCCATATTTCAATATACCACAAATTCTCGACATTCCCAACGACAACTCTTTGAATACTCCAAAGTCTGCTGAGCCTATTTACATAAATCCCTCGTACACTCGTAGTGATGAATTCCAACTGCTCGAAAGCTTACTACCTACAATTCGTCACATGCTACACGTGAGTAACCCGATCTATGAGGTGTTCAGGCGTAGTTCCGCTTGGGTCCAGTCGGGTCATTCTAGCGGAATTGATCAACACCGAGCTTCTTCGTGTGAGCGTTCGACAAACGCCTACAGCTGGCATTTATAACACAAGCAATATAGCACTAAGCGGAATGGAACAAGCTATAAGGTACTCCTCATCCGTGAAGCCAAGAAATGGAAGTTCTCTGAGAGTATAGGTTGGGTATACTGCCCACGGTTGCAACGTTCTCCACTTTCACCTGTGACACATTTTATGATGTTCTGGTCTCTCACCGGCTTGGGATATGAAAGGCTATTTCTATAAAAATTTAAACCTGCGACGTAGGCGATAGGCGTTATAAATCTATTTTATTTTCAGGTCATTGTATAATATTAATTTGTTAATATCAGAGCGATCACAAATCAGGGACTCCAGATGAGGTAAGCGCCGAGTCTTGCGAGTGAGGGTAAGACATGCATTCTAGCGAGAACATGATTCTGAATAGAAGTCAAGTGAGTGGCTCATCCCAAAACAAGGCCGATCGATGCTCAGTGCTTTGTCTTTCTTTTCATTCTCACTCCTCCGCCCACTTCTTACAGTCAAGCTCTTTTTGAAAGTTTTCACTCAAGAGAAAATCCATCACGTTTAATCAAAAAAGTGATTCTCGCTATTCTTTGATATCCCTCAAAAGAAGAAGATTCAGTCAATTGGATACCTTATTGTAACCTTTTTCACCCAACTTTCGCACGGCTTTTACCACTGAGAGCAACGGTGCAGAGTAGTCCAGCCATTAAACCATCCAGCTGACTGATAATTAGAATCTTTCACTCTGTTCCCATACTTACATGCCAGCATTTTATGTGTAGGTGATTCGAGTAGTTTTTCCATAAGTAAGAATTTCTGCCAAACAAGAATGGTGTTCCCAAGTTCATCATGTCTCTCTCACAACTCTCTGTGAATGATGTGGGTGTATGCCATCTGTGCTTGGTTCCATAGCGAATTTCTTCTACGACTGTACAAATCTGCACTATGGGAGCAGGATAAGCTTTGGAGAATCTCTTGCTTTGAATAATCAGATTGATTTATTGATGCAAGTACACAGCTATTGCTCATGATCACTGTAAGTGATAAGAATACTTGCAAATTCAAAAGTTCTGGTTCAAAATTTTGGAAATAGCCACTCATCTTGCGGTGTTCTGATGTACAATACAAGTTGAGTGGCTATTTCCAAAACTGGAACTTATGCGCCTGACATTTGAATTAAATAGTAATTGGGTGAATTAAATAAAGAAAATGAAGAAATAGCTAATTATGGAATTGGTAACCCAATGCCGTTATTCCAGTTCAGTGTTTTCCCTGGTACAAATACGCCAGCCTACATTAACGAACTAAACTTCATATTCTTCAACTTAACTGCCTTACATATGTTAGACACCCTTTCGTTACTCCAGTAAATCACCGGCGATCAATAGACCCAAAGAGTTTTGTGGCAGTTATTTACCATAAACAATTCGAATCATCAACTTACCATGCAGACCTGGGTTGAAGCCAACGGCTGTGAATATTTCCAAGCGCTTGCCATCGAATGAAAGCCAGCGCAGCTCCCATGTAGAGAGTTATAGCATGAAGAGCAATACTGACAACTACATGAATCTTCAGAAAAAGCATCCATGAGTAGGAATAGCCGTATTCACCCTGAAAACCAATGCGGTCATAGTCCTATAATCCATAATCGAGCACAACAGCTTGATAGATTGCCATCTTCTGAGCTGGATAATCAGAGGTTACAAAGCGAAACTCTAACCAGATTTCTGGAGACCAAACTTCAGCAACACATGGCTTATAGACGTAGGCGATGTAACCGTCAACAGCTGACTTAGGCTCAATGTTTTTGTCTTGCTGCTGTCATTTTGCCGATGCGCAAGTCTCACAAGGATGGCGAGCTCAAAGTTTCACGACTAAATGCCTGTACAGGCGATCGGCTCAACCCGTATGACGTAGGAGTGCTGCTAGCAATCAAGAGAACGAGAGGAACAGTTTCGGTAGTATGAGAGATGAAGAGGATGGTGCCCATAAAGCACAAGTACTGTTCCAAAATCCGTCCAGAGCCGAAATTTTGCTCAGAAGTCGGCATCTCTCAAAACACTGACTGGCACTTTGGGAAGAACAGCTCAAATAATGGTCAATACAACTGAATCAGAAATCAATCAGTACCTGGTAAATCCGGAATCGGAAGAGGTAGACCGTATAGGACGTCATTGTGACCACATCGCAGAAGGCGACAGCAGTGAGCACGCAGTTCACCGCACACCGTCGCATTCGTGGTCGTGACAACACCAAAATGTGGACGGCGTTTGAGATGATACCAATCAAGCATATGACAAGGCACGCATAGCGGTGAAATACGGTGTAGACCCTGAAATTCATGATAGAAAGGAACGATGGGAAAGAGAGACAGCTTGGAAGCTGAAGACCAGTCAGATGGGATCGACTTTGGGACAACGTCAAATTTGTCTACTGTTGTTTCACATTTGCCAGCGAGTGATATAGGCCACTACATGGCCATAAAAGGAACCTGATATTAGTTCGAAATCCTAAAATTTAAGACCGAATGTGGTTCGACGGACGTTCTTTTGTAGTGGAGAGATTTGTGAAATAAAAGCCGGGGACCAGAATCCCATTATCCACAAAGGTACTGCGCTGGTTGGATAGACCTCGCTGATTAAAAACTGGTGGGAACGAATCAACTGCAATTTCTATGGCTTCTGAACCTGCCTAGTTATACCTAGCCAGTTTTGCCTTCTGTTCAGATTTGATACCACCCTTTTCCAGTAATGATCCTGTGGTACGTAGAAGAATGAATTCTAGGCAACTTTTGCCAACTATATCCTCAGGGCCGAGGGAATTTTGGAAACGAGCGTAATTTGCACTTGAACGCAACCTTCTTTCTTTCTTGCTTTCTGAAGCCAAACAACGCTACTAAATTAGTGGTAACTCAAGAGATATGAGTGCTATGGGTTGCACTGGCTCGATTCTGGATGACAAGTTCATTTTCTTTTCATAAAGCAAATCAGTCAGTCGGAAAACATCTAGAGCTCTAAGCAGCAGTCTTCGACATTTCGAAGGTACATCTATACTCCAAGTACTCGTGAATGCCTGAGGGGGTGCAATGTGAAGTAAATATGCAAATCATGCGAAACTAGTACATTTGAAGGCGGATTAGTTCGGTCCATATAGCCTTGAAAGTGATCATAGAAACATCCAAATGTGTAGCAAATTTCGGAGGTTTTCGGTCCCACGGCTCATCTTCCTCACCTGACCGAAGATTTAATTAACTGCTCCACTCATTCAAAGAAAAAGACAACTGTAACAATCTATGGTTTTTCATGATTGATTTTAGGGAATCATTCCAGACTTTTTCATACCACAAGACTCAGAACAGAGAGTGTAGCTGGATGGCATTCGTTTCCCACTTCCAACTTTCTTTTCGATGCCAAGCTTCAGACGAAGGTTTCTGCTCAGGTGTATGGGAGTGTTTACGCGTAAGTTGATAATTTTTAAGTGGATTTCGTAAGAGCTTTGCTGTGAATCATTGAAAACACATCAACACAACTAGCACGGACGTTTGCCAAAAGGTACCAGCCAAAAAAGTAATTATGCTCGAATTAGCTGAAAGTAGTAGAAAGGTCAGCCAGGATAGTGTCCGCCATGGTTTAGAAGCCGGTCTCACTAAACGATCGAATTCTTATGATAGCAATGTTTACTCCTCTTAATTGTTCCATAAGGCATAGGAATTGTACCGACAGGTTCGCAATCTGACTCAACTGCTAAAGCCCTTTGTTGAAGGAGTCACTTCCAAGGTTAACGCCAACAAGTGCCTAGTTTAGCATTTGACGGACCCTTAGCTTTTGACCTTCGCACAGCCTTCCCTATAATCGTTTTCACGAGTTCTTGTGCCCAGTGCCCCTCTGCGCAAGCCACAATCTATCATGGACGTGACTTGAAGAAGTAGAAATCCCTCGTCATTAGTCGGTGCGGCTTTGCCTTTCGGCGATAACGTCATGTACGGTGTAACACGACGAAAGCCAGAACGTCAATCTAGAGAAGGAATCAAGACGAGGCTAAAATTTCTACGATTTCCGAGGAATCATGCTAATTTCGGTTGTCTATATCTTAGTAAAGTAGCTAGGTATTTCTTCTCTAAAAACGTATGGACATGGAGCAGAATGGGTGCACTTCTTGGTCAGATCTGCTCATTAGATCAGTCAACAGAACAATATGGAGCCTTATCCCGAACATTACCATTCTTTACCGGACCTCTACACGTCATCCAACANGTAACACGACGAAAGCCAGAACGTCAATCTAGAGAAGGAATCAAGACGAGGCTAAAATTTCTACGATTTCCGAGGAATCATGCTAATTTCGGTTGTCTATATCTTACAATTAGTAAAGTAGCTAGGTATTTCTTCTCTAAAAACGTATGGACATGGAGCAGAATGGGTGCACTTCTTGGTCAGATCTGCTCATTAGATCAGTCAACAGAACAATATGGAGCCTTATCCCGAACATTACCATTCTTTACCGGACCTCTACATGTCATCCAACACCTCAATTTTTTGTAGAGTTCGCTTGCATGGCTTAATCTGCAGATTTGAGGACAGGTGAAATCGCTAATTGTCGTCATCTAGGTTTACTCAGTGTTTAGTCAAATCATTGCTGTAGTGTCTCAGAATAAATTCAAAAAAACGGGCCCTACTATCCATTCACTCTCAGCGGAATTCACTTCCTGATTGTTTTCAGCGCCCTGCAAATTGAGTTCCTAATCGTGGGACTCAACATAGAAAGGGTCCAGACCAGCTTTCGAAGTGGATATTGCATGCAACTGCTCAGGAGAGTTGCTTATTCATTGGTTTACAAACTAGGTTTGATGAAAATGAGCATTACGAACTTTGGAGCACTGGTCTCAAGTTCTTATACTATCCTTGATCTCTCTCAACCTCCTTCAAGCTCAATTTAATGTAGGAGTACTTGCAACCTCAAGAATAATAATTGAAGGAGTATTCATTCTATATAATAGCGTGGTGTATATGTTTTCGAGTAATTTTCATACAATATTATTGTCCGAGTTTCCTAGAATCCCAAGAAAAACTTATGTGTTGAATGAAGATCTCCTTAGTCAATCCAAATTGTTTCGCCGTAGTTGTTTTGGAGATGTTGACGGAAAAAAAAGTCTTTTCATGGTCTCAGACAAGCACGGTCTCGTTAGTTCAAGGGATAAGAGCACGGGGCCCGGATAGCACAAGTACGGGTTCCAGTACCGTCCGAGGTCGACGTTTTGTTGATAACTCGCCAACAGTGGGAGACTTTTTATGATTGTTAGTTGTTGTGTAGCTTTCTCCACTCAGCTTTGAATTATAGCGGCTATTATCACAAGAAGGATCTTATTGCCGACCCTGGGGACTATTTCGCCTCGATCCGACGGGACTTAGAACTGGTCATCTTTCATTCAAACTACCACAGAGCAATCCAGAAATATTCCGAGAGCAGATCTTTGATGCGTAAAAGACCGCCAATCCTTCCCAGTGTGGTCCAAAGTAATTCTAACACTGCCGAAGACCGTTTCAGAAACTCGTAATGAATCCCTTTTCTAGGAATGTGACGAGGGATTATTCTCGATGAGTCATCGTTTGAGTTTTTTTAATCCCTCATCCTAGATGAAGACCTGACGATGTCTCAAGGGAGCAGATTGCCCAACAATTAGAAAACTGCCTACGGGCGGCTTTCAAGAACTTTTGACTCGAATAGTGTGGTATCTATTCATAGAATAAAATAACACCGATAACATTGCAGCTGCTCTTTCGAAATGTCTAATCTATCTTAAATGAAAGTTTTTCTCAACCTGCCCACGCGTATGTACGACGTGCGTAACAGCAAGAAACCTTGATACTGGTTTTTGACAGATCTGATGAGGCGTATTCCGCTGTTGAAAACCAGTAAGTTCGAATAAGATCCAAAGCTCATTCATGTGCTGTGCTGGGCTCTTATGATTTTGAGTTTTGCCAAATTATCTTCAGCCCTATGGGTCCTGGAGGGAAAAGAAAAGGCGGATTCACTACATACGGACCTATCGGGCCAAAAACTGACTCTTTGTGAGGACTACTAAGTTTTTTGACGGAAAGATCATTTCAGGAGAGATCGCCTACTAGACAGTGTTTGCTCGGGCGGTATTCAGACATTGTATAGCCTCTTGAGATTCGTTCTCAGGGATCACTTGAATGTTTGGTCGAAGTCGAACAATGTGGTCCGCCGCTGAGCTCATGGCAGAAAGGAGCTTCCATAGAGCACTACCGGACATAAAACAATTGTCGAGCGATTGGCTTAATTTTATTAGCCTCAGCAAAAGGCTCAGCAGCGCCTCACTAGGAGAGAGGAGGGGAGCCAAGGAGCAGAAAAAAGAGTAAAATGAATTCAAAGTGAAAAATCAGTAGAAAGGATAATCCTGTACCTGTTGAATTGTTCCAGATGACTGACAAAGCCCAATATCAACGAGTCATTCAAATCCAACAGGCTCCGCTCGTCATTACACATGGCGCCTGCTGAAATGCATTATTTAACTGAAAGATAGGCGTTGACAACGAGGAATAAACTACGCCATCTGAACTGCTTTCTATGAACAGAGGGTGCATTGGGAAGATGGTGAGAAGGCAAAAGATCAAGCACAGTAGCAGGATTCATAAATAAACAAGGTAAATTCAGAAAAATTCCGACAATCTCTGGTGATTTCTGGACTGCATGAATGCTCCATTGCGCAGAATCTGTTACAAAACTCATAGTCAGTCATGAAAATCGGCTTTTTTAGTTCCCTAATTAGCGCTGACGACTTATAAATAAAGGTGATGAAGGATGATGTGCCTGAGTGTTGATCAATCCCGTCTGAGAATGTGCCCCCGCATTCGACTTCCACTTATAACGGCTGTGGTGGTTCGAGGGTGTGTGTGAACGACAGAAAGAATTACGGTGGCCAGCCTAGGTACGAGTCATTCATCGTGGATTCATCCTGCGTCTGGTACCAGTTAACTCAAGGGATGGTAAGCTTAGTTGGCCTAAGGGGGCCTAGATCCGGATTGGAATATATAACCATGCATGTGTGACAGTGCGCCACTCTCGACTACTCTACCTCCCCCCCACCCCAGAATCTGTTATGAAAGTTATAATGAACACCATGGAAATCGGTCGTTTTGTTGGTGGTTTCCCAGCTCAATGTTGACAATTTGTAAATCAGTAATTCATCATTGGTTACTAGCTTGGAGACTCTCAATACTACACGAAATTCATACGTTTGAATTAAAGGCAGTTTTACGTCGATGTGAAAAAGCGAATGTTCAAATCATGCCGTGAGAACAGCAAAGCTATGTCTTTAATAAATGCAGCGATGTATTTTGAAGTCATCGTGTATTTCTCAGAAGGAAATTACTTAATACCTTCCACTTTTTTCATATGCAGCTTCTCGTTATGCATTCAGATTTTATTCGTTTCGATCCAAAAGAGCCAAATAATCGGTTGCATTGAAAGTTCGATTAATCTCTGCCTCCAGCTATCGACATAGAGGGCCAACAATATTCTTCCATTTTGATTTCTTTTAGCATGAAAAACACCGCAGTCTAGCAATCATACAGTAGTGCGCAAAATTATTCGGCCAACTTTAATTTGCCGTAACTTTTTCCCCAGTGAAGCAAATCGCAGGAAATTTTGATATGTTCAGCTGAAGCATATTTTACACTGTCCTACACTACTTGACTGCAAAACAGCCATATCCACACACTAATGGAGAAGCGTTTGGAGACTGTGCTGAAAGCAAATC